AACAACTACAGTACCAACCACAACTATGACCCAGTCCACAACTTTTACACCTAATGGTCCAACTTCTACTACAATTACAAGTACAACTACTATCCAACCAACAACAACTACAGCCACAACTACATCTCCATCTATAACTACTACGCAACCAATAACTATAGCTTCCAGTACTCCCCAAGAAACAACGACCGTTTCACCCACAACAACCACTACTAAATCAACACCTTCAACTCCAATTTTCACTTCTACCAATTCCCCAACTTCACTTCTTACAACCACTACCACTCTACAAACAACTGGGAGCACCACCACCGCATTACCAACAACTACAGTACCAACCACAACTATGACCCAGTCCACAACTTTTACACCTAATGGTCCAACTTCTACTACAATTACAAGTACAACTACTATCCAACCAACAACAACTACAGCCACAACTACATCTCCATCTATAACTACTACGCAACCAACAACTATAGCTTCCAGTACTCCCCAAGAAACAACGACCGTTTCACCCACAACAACCACTACTAAATCAACACCTTCAACTCCAATTTTCACTTCTACCAATTCCCCAACTTCACTTCTTACAAACACTACCACTCTACAAACAACAGGGAGCACCACATTACCAACAACTACAGTACCAACCACAACTACGACCCAGTCCACAACTTTTACACCTAATGGTTCAACTTCTACTACAATTCCAAGTACAACTACTGCCCAATCAACACCTACAGCCACAACTACCACTACTACCTTACCAACAACTACATCTCCATCTATAACTACTACGCAACCAACAACTATAGCTTCCAGTAGTCCCCAAGAAACAACGACCGTTTCACCCACAACAACCACTACACAATCAACACTGTCAACTCTAATTTTCACTTCTACCAATTCCCCAACCTCACTTCTTACAACAACTTCTACTCTACCTTCAACAAGAGGAACCATCATCCAACTTACTAGTACAGCTCCTACCAGCATAATGACACAAAAAATTACGACAGCTCCAACTGTCACTCCAAACCTGGTCACAACTAAAAGTACTATCCAGCCAACAAAAACTGCAGCTCTATCCACCAGTACTATCCTACGAACTCCTCAAACAACTGCCTCTCCATCTACAAGTACTACCCAACCAACTTCCGGTCCATTTACCACTGTCACCCTACCCATAACGACATCTAAAACTAGTTCACAACCATTGACAACTATAACTTCCACTACTACCCAACCAAGAACTACAGTTCCAACCACAACTACTATTCAACCATCAATGACTACAACTACCACTACTGTGACATTTCCAGCTATTCCAAATGCGGTTCCAAGTACTACTATTATGCAGCTAATAACTATAGCTTCCAGTCCTACCCAACTGGCAAATATGTCGTCGACTATCATTACTACCCCATCCCCAACTACTGAAATTACAGGTCCAAGTACAACTACTACCCAGTCAGCAATGACTACAGCTGAAACTACTACTAGACTAAACACAACTTCTTCTGTATCTACAACTACCAATCAACCTATATCTACAGTTAAAACTACCACTGCCACCCTACCCACAATTCCATTCCCATCAAGGTCTACAACCCAAACAACAACCACAATGACAACTACACAAACAACATCTTCAACCACAATATGCAGAGATCCTCCTACGAGATTGGAAGGCTTCATCATACTGTACTTCAGAATACGTCAAGAGTTTGTTCAAGACTACTATAACAGCAGTTCTGTGAAGTATAAAATAATGGAACATTCTGTTGACACTCAGGTACATTTTTCAACCTGTAGCACATAATGATTTAAATTTATTCTCCTCAAAATTGCTGCTTGTCTACATCAAAAAAATCTTTAACTGATATTGTTAATTTTAATTTGGTGTTAATAATTTTTGTAATAGCTGAAAATGATTGTATGCATTAGATACAATAATTTCACATAATATTATTCCTCTCAACAGTTGAATAATTTGTACCAGGAATTATATCCCTTAATCTTCCTAAGGTGCATCGTCATCAATTTCTGGTAAGGAGAGATGCATCATTATCAGTTATGACTGGAACAATATATATACACACACACACACACACACACACACTGTTTTTTTCTGAATACTGCCATTTCAGAACATTGTTATATATGGGCTTTCAACTAGTAACCTTTCAATCAGAAGTGTGCATCCCTACTCATTAGGCCACCACTGCCCCAACTAAATTTTGTCACTTCAGACTTCTAGGGATCAGGGATCAAACATTGCCACATTGCTTTTATGGATTCCTATCATAATTTAAAGATATGCATTTATACTGAATTAGTGGATGCAAAGAGCTGTGAACTATGTTGGTAAATTTGGTCATGCCTTACTTCATTTACTTTTCAGAAAATGTTACGATGACCTAATGTAATTTTGGGTATCAATTAATGTTAGCCATGACCATTATAGCCTGTTGTTACTAAAGATACATATTAATTCTAAATTTAGTTTACACATGTTCCATGCAGATCCAGAAAACACTGAAAATTCCATTCTTTCTTTATGTATCATTCTATTGTATATTCCAAGTTTTTAAATGCCGTTTATTTATTTATTGTGGTTTATTTAGTTCTTTTTTAGATAAAATGTTGCTGTAAAATAATATTGTTACTTTCAATCTCCCTCTCATTAGGTTTGGTTCATTAGGAGTAACAACCAACTTGGTCTTCCAAAATGATTCTGTCCTTCCTAATATTACCAATGTGGTGGACCAACTAAAGGAAGCCATTAACAGCTCAAAAGTCTCCTTTGATATTATTCTAAATAGCATTTATGCAGGTAAGTGATTTCATTTAATCAAGTAAAATGTATTGATATTTTCAGTTTTAAATATTATCAGCTATTTAATAACTTTAATTATTTGCCAGAAATGTCAGAGTAAGAAAAATTTGTTCTATAAAGTTTTTTGATGTTATTAACTAACCTGTTTTGCAAACAGAACTACCTAACAGCACAACTACCACAGAAGCTCCGAGTACCAGCATGGTCCAACCAATGACAAGGACTACTCTGCCTACAGCATTAAGCACAGCTATCCAACAAACATCAGCTCCAGTGACAACTACCACTGCTGCCCTACCAACAACTACCACAAATGTATCTCCATCTACAACTTCTACTAAACCAGTAACAATTACAGCTAGCAGTACTATTGAAGCAACAACATTATCGGCATCTGTAACTACCACACACCAAAAAATTATACCTTTCACTACTACTAAACCAGTAAATACAGTTCCAATTACCACTGCTATCCTATCCACAACTATGTCCTCATCTCCAACTACAACGCAAGAATTAACAACTACAGCTTCCACCACCATGCCACCTACAAGTACAACCACTGCTCAACCGACAACTTTAGGTCTAATTACCAGTACTAGCAAATCTGCAAGCGCCACTACCGAAGTAATAATGACCACAGCTTCAACTACCACTTCTGCCACATCCACAATGATTATGAGTACAATCCTCAGTACTTCTACAATTCAGCAAACAGCAACTACAGCTGAAAGTGCCACTACTTCCCTACCCACAACTACGTCTCCATCTTCAACTACTGAGGAAATAACGACAACTCCAAGTCCAAGCAGCACTCCTGAAACACTAATGAGTACAGCAGCAACCAGTACTATTCCACCCACAGGTACAAGCACTACTCAAGCAACAAATTCAGCTCCAGTTAGCAGTTTCAGCAGTTCTGCAACTGTGAGGCTAACGTCGTCCATTACAGAACCGGAAACAGAAAGCGCCACTACCAAAGTAATAATGACCACAGCTCCAACTACCGCTTCTGCCCTGTCCACAATGATTACAAGTACAAACCTCAGTACTTCTACAATTCACCAAACAGCAACTACAGCTGAACGTGCCACTACTCCCATACCCACAACTACGTCTCCATCTTCAACTACTGAGGAACTAACGACAACTCCAAGTCCAAGCAGCACTCCTGAAACACTGATGAGTACAGCAGCAACCAGTACTATTCCACCCACAGGTACAAGCACTACTCAAGCAACAACTTCAGCTCCAGTTAGCAGTTTCAGCAGTTCTGCAACTGTGCCGCTAACGTCGTCCATTACAGAACCGGAAACAGAAAGCGCCACTACCGAAGTAATAATGACCACAGCTCCTACTACTGCTTCTCCCCCGTCTACAATGATTACAAGTAAAATCCTCAGTACTTCCACAATTCACCAAAGAGCAACTACAGCTGAAAGTGCCACTATTCCCATTTCCAGAACTACGTCTCCATCTTCAACTACTGAGGAACTAACGACAACTCCAAGTCCAAGCAGCACTCCTGAAACACTATTCAGTACAGCAGCAACCAGTACTATTCCACCCACAGGTACAAGCACTACTCAAGCAACAACTTCAGCTCCAGTTAGCAGTTTCAGCAGTTCTGCAACTGTGCCGGTAACGTCGTCCATTACAGAACCGGAAACAGAAAGCGCCACTACCGAAGTAATAATGACCACAGCTCCAACTACCGCTTCTGCCCCGTCTACAATGGTTACGAGTACAATCCTCAGTACTACTACAACTCAGCAAACAGCAACTACAGCTGAAAGTGCCACTACTCCCCTATCAACAACTATGTCTCCATCTTCATCTACTGAGGAACTGACGACAACTCCAAGTTCAAGCATCACTCCTGAAACACTATTGAGTACAGCAGCA